ATGTGCTGAGTCAGTTCAATTCAATTCAATGCAATGTATTGTAAATGAATATCATTGTGCTTAATAGAATTTAGTTAATTCTAATTCAATTCAATTTTAGATAGTTTCAAGCTAAATAGAATTAGGTTTGTTTCATTGTAATTAGAATTAGTTTTAATTCATTATCATTATATTATAAATTAATCGTGAATTATTTTAAAGAGGGGTCGCAATTTCAGGCGAATGGTAGGATCCCTGAGTAGTGCCGAACCCGAACGCACCAACCGGCTCCGGGACGTGGGCCGTGCGCCGAGGGCCTTGGCATCGCTCGGACGTGTGCATTTTTTTCCTTCGGCGAGGACCCTCGAGGAGCATCCTTGATCCTTCGGCGAAAAAGCCATGCACGAAACCGAAAAAAGCACAGGAAATGGACGTCCGAGCGATGGCCAGGGGCTCGTCTCGGGCGACGGGGGCCCCCCGGGCCCCAAGGCGGTGCGGCGGCGGGCCGTGCGGTGAGGCCTTGTGGGATCCAGATAGATCTGTCGGCGACTCGATGCATCTTCATGAGCTGGGGCCTCCGCCTCTGGCGGGACCGCGCGCTCGCCTCGCGCTCGCGCTCGCCTCGCACTCGCGCTTGCCCTCGCGCTCGCGGTCGCCTCGCGCTCGCGGTCTCCTCGCCTCGCACGGCCTGCCACCGCACCGCGCCGGGGCCGCCGCAGGATCCCGACGGCCTGCTGACGGCCAGTGGGGCGCAGGGCCAGGGCTCCGCGCCAGCCTCGCCCAGCTCGCGCACCGCGAGCACGGTGGACGGGCAGGCCGCGCCGCGGACGCCCGTGGAGGGCTGGTCGCCGCGGCTCTCGAGCTCGACGTTCAAGGTTGGAGCTGGCTTCGGGGGGCGATTTGTGGCCACCGCCCCCGCGCGCGTACTCCAGATTTCGTAATAAAGGGAGGGGGGTCTCATTTCGGGGGGGGTCTCTTCCAGGCTATCTTGGAGGGCCTGGGGGGTCTGGGGACGATGTTTTGGAGGGTTCTCCCACGGGGGAGGTCTGAAATGGCTTGTCTTGGAGGGTCCAGACCCCCTCCCTTTTATTACGAAATCTGGAATACCTTGTGCCGGATCAGCTGGTCTGTCGGGGTGGTGTGCGAAAATCGCGTCCCCAGAGGGGATGCGTGTTTTTCATGCAGCCCCCTCTCCCCGGTCTTGTGCCAGACCCGCTTGTCAATGGGGGTGATGTACACAAGTCGTGTTCCCACAGCTGTGGGTCTGAGGTTCCCCAGCTTTGGGCCCGGCGAGCAGGAATGGGGGGGGGCGGGTTCGAGGTCCTGGGGGTCGCGAAGGTGTTTGGGCTTGTTCGGTCTACCATGTTTGCTGTCGGCCGCCTGCAACGTCAAAAACAGATCCAGGGTGCAACAATCAAACAGATGGAACCCCGGCCTTGCCCTTTGCCCCCCTTCTTGACACATTCCTCATGCCCTTTGCCCCCTTCTTGACTTTGAGCGGATTTGCCCTTGACACAGTCCTCATGCCCTTGCGATTTTGAACGGATTTGCCCTTTGCCCCCCTTCTTGACACCTGCTTTCGGGGCCCATCCAGCACAGACCCCCCGGGCCGCCTCTCCAAGCTCCAGGTGCTGGACACCTGGGAGCGCGGCCGCCACAAGATCCGAGACCGCCGGCCGTCCATGCAGAGCCTGTACATCCGGAAGTCCACCCTCTCCTCCAGCAACGCCGTCTGGGGGCAGCTCGGAGAGCGGGGGCAGCGTCAAGTCAGGAGGAGGAGGAGGAGGAGGAGGAGGAGGAGGGCCTGCTGCCCGTCTGTCGGCGAGGCGTCGCCTCCTCTGAGCTGGTGCCCCCCCTAACGTTCCGTCGGGCACGTCCCTGCACAGGGGGAAGATTCAAGAATAGGTCAAAGAATAGTCTGGGGACTACCATTGGAGCATTTTTCGATTGTGTACGGGGGCACTTTTTGATAATTTGTACGTTTTCGCCCAAAATCCGCCTGTAGGGGGACACGCCCGACTTAACCCTAACGTTCCGTCGGGCACGTCCCTCTGCAGGAGGGAGATTCCAGAATGGTCAGACAGATCGTCCGGGGACGCTGTTTGAACTCTTGTTGGCTATCTATTTTTTGAGGACGGGGGTTGTGTTGACTAGTTTCCAGCTTTCCTCCAAGATCTGGCTGTGGGAGGACATGCGCTACCTGACCCTAACGCTCCCCCGCAGGCGACGAGGAAGAGGCCCGCGAGCCGGCCTGGTGGGAGGAGCGGCTGGAGAGGCTGGTCGTGGAGCCGAACTCCTGCGTCTCGGTGGTCCAAAGGTGGGGTCCTAAGGGATGGGGACCCAAGGATAGAAAGGGATCCGAGGGAGGATTTGCGTTGTTTGAGGCGCCTGGTCCTCAGGACCCCCTCCCTCAGGACCCCATCTTTGAACCACCGATCGTCCACATCTGCTGGGAGTCCGTCGGCCTGTGCCTCGTCCTCTACGACGTCGCCACGGCGCCGCTGCGGCTCCTGGACCCCCTGGACGGCGCCGCGTTCTTGCTGGCGGCGTGGCTGGCGCGCCTGTTCTGGACGCTCGACGTGCCGTTCTCCTTCCTGACCGGCTTCGTCTCGCCCCAGGGCAGTCGGAGAACGAAGCGATCTCCGAGGAGGAAAAGGTACCAATTACCAGTACCTCTATACCCTTCGCCCGCGCTTTTCCCCTTTCGGGCCCCCTGGGAGACCCTCGTCGCCGCCGCTGGATTCGCCTGGAAATTCTGGTCAGAACGCACCCCCGAAGAGGTCTGGGGAGTAGCGGTATTGGTACTCCAGATTTCGTAGTAAAGGGAGGGGGGTCTCATTTCGGGGGGGGGTCTCTTCCAGGCTATCTTGGAGGGCCTGGGGGGGTCTGGGGACGATGTTTTGGAGGGTTCTCCCACGGGGGGGGTCTGAAATGGCTTGTCTTGGAGGGTCCAGACCCCCTCCCTTTTATTACGAAGTCTGGAGTACCTGTTGGTTCCCCCGCGCAGGCGCTGGTCTTCGGAGGGCCGCGGGGGCTTCTTGCGTCGGCGCTGGGCGGCGCCTCCCAGTGCCGCCCCCCGGCCGGGGCCAGCCCCGATCCAAGAATTCCGCGCGGACCTCCGACAGTTCGCGCGGTATTGCTCGGGGGCGGAAAAGGGGGGGGTGATGACTAGGGGGGGGTGGATTTCATGGCGGGGGCCATGATATCTCCCCAGATTTCATGGCGCCCCTTCTTATTTCATTACGTCTCTGGCCCCCCCGCTGGGCCGCGCACATGCCGCCGGTCATGATTTGCACCCCCCCCCTCTTGGACACCCCCCTCTTGGCCGCTCCCGAGAATTCCGCGCGGACCTCCGAAAGTTCGGGCGGTATTGCCTCTGTGTCTCCAGGCCTCCCAGATGGGTCCCGAGTGGGCGGGGTCGGAGGATCGCGCCGCATCGTCGACGCATCGGCGATGCGGCTCGATGTGGAGACCGACTTTATCTCCTCGCTGGCGTCGCCGATGCATCGCCGAGGTCGCAGATGCGTCGCCGATGCATCGGCGACGTAGCGCCGATGTCTGGGCGACGCGGCGCGATCCTCCGACCCCGTCTACTCCGACCCCAGCTAGGAGGCCTCCTGGTGTCCACACCCGCCAGCGAGGAGTTGTTTCGCTGGAGGGCAACAGCCCCGGACCCGCCTCCCACACCCCCTGCACATCGCGGCTGCGCCAGGTGCAAAGTATGCCCGTGCTCCCTGCGGGGCCCGGCCCCGTGTCTTCGACGAGAGGCGACTGCATGTCGCGGCCGCCACGCCCAACGTGTGCTCCCCAGGGATGCCGCCTCGCGTTCTCGGGTGGGGCTCGGCGGAAGCAAAGCAAGCGATCGCCGCACAAGAACGGGCTCGATTGCGCGGACATTCGCGCGCAAGTTGCCCGCGTAGGGTTGCGCGCGAGCGCCCTCAACTCCAAAGTGGCGTACCGCGCTGGCGGCCCGCGTAAGCCACCAGGTAAGGTCGCTGTGCCATCATGCGTGAGACCTGCTTCGAAGCGAGCGCAACATGTGGCACGCCCCGAATCGAAGCGAGCGCAACAGACATACGTTCACGTGCACGGCACGGCGCTTCCGGCATCTCGGGCTCAAGAGGAAAACCTCTCGGCCCGCGTAAGTATGAACAACATTCTTCACATTTCGCGTATCCCCACCAGTTTGCTTGGTCTTGTTTCTTTTCGCTTTCCTCTTCCCGTGCGCTAATTTAGGCCGTCGCCTCTGTGCTTCGCCCCTTGACGCCGCCCGATCTCTCACCGCGGTCGCGATCAAAAAAGTATCCCCACCAGCCCATTCAGAAGCCCTGCCCATGAGAGCTGACGGGAAAAGGGACGAAGAGACACATCTAGGGAAACAAAGTGAGTAACCAGGGTGAACCGAGAGATCTCTGGGAGCAAGGGGGTGGCCTTGGAAGGCCTCTTCGGGCCATCCCTGGGGGCCGCGTGGGGTGAGGGGAAGAGGAGGAGGAGGAGCAGGAGGAGGATGAGGACGAGAAGGAATAAGAGGACGAGGACGCGGATGAGGACGCGGACGAGGAGGACGAGGACTAGGCTGCTGCTGCTGCTGCTGCTGCTGCTGCTGCTGCTGCTGCTGCTGCTGCTGCTGCTGCTGCTGCTGCTGCTGCTGCTGCTGCTGCTCTCTGGGAGTTTGGGAGGCCCTCTTGGAACCCTCTCGGTAGCCCTGGAAGGCTTCTTGGGATCATTTTGGAGGCCATCGATTACAGGATGGGGGGTCCCCACCTCAGCTCCCCCCTCAGGAGCCGGCAACCTGCTTCTTTGGGCTCTCTTGGAGCGCTCTTCGGCGCTCTTGGAGCGGTCTTCGGGGTGTTTGGAGCATCTTGGGAGCCATCTTGAGCCCGCTTGGGCCATCTGAGCCATCTTGGAGGTCATCTTGGGCTCTCTGAGGCCGCTCGGGGGCCTCTTGGGGGCCTCTCGGGGGCCTCTGGGGGCCCTCTGGGGACCCTCTTGGAGCCCTCTTGGACCTCTCTTGGGGCTCTCGTGGGAGCCCTGGAGCGCCTCTTGGGGCCATCTTCGAGGCTATCGATCAAAGGGTGGAAGCTCCCGATCGAGGCCCCCCGCTCGGGGGCCACGATCCTCGTGAGGGGTGTCAAGAATCGGCCCTCCCAGGGGCCGAAACAGGGCCCCCTCCAACGCCCCGCGAAACCCCCCCAAAAAGTCGAGGGGAGAGGAGGGGCAAACCCCTCCCCGAAGCGGGAAGAGAGGGTTTGTGGAAGAGGAAGTGAAGCATCGCGTCATGCCACCTCTACGCCCAGAGGGCTCTGGTGGGGCTTCCCACACGCGCGCCAACTGTCGTACCGTCGGCGTTCCGCGCGTCTCCCCGCAGGCAGGATCGAGCTGCGCGCCGCCCGGGTGGCGGCCCACTACGCCCGCGGCCGCCTGCCGCTGGACCTCGCCGTCCTCGCCTGCGACTGGGCGGAGGCCCCCGGGCGAGGGCCGGCGAGCGGCCAGCGACGCGGCTCGCCCGCATGGAAAGCCGGGTCGGGCGCCTGACCTTCCAGGAGGGCTGAAAAATAGCACCAGGACCTCGACATCCTACTTCCTGTCGAGGTTTTAGGCAGTCCGGGTAGGTCTGCAGGTCTGGAGGGCTACTTTTTAGCACTCTGGAAGGTCGGGGGCCCACCTCGGGGGCGGAAAAGAGGGGGTGATGACTAGGGGTGGGTGGGTATCATGGCGGGGGCCATGAGATCTCCCCAGATTTCATGGCGCCTCTTCTTATTTTATTACGTCCTTGGCCCCCCCGCTGGGCCGCGCACATGCCGCCGGTCATGATTTGCACCCCCCCTCTTGGACAACCCCTTCTTGGCCGCTCCCCACCACCTCGGGCCCCGCTGCTCGGCGCGGCGAGGAGCCTCCCCCCCACCCCCGGGGAGGCGCGAGGGGAGAGCGACCACTCGCGAGCGGCGGCGGCGTCGGACGATCGTCCGTGCACCCGTGGCCTCGGGGTCTGGGCTTGGCGGGGGGGCGAGCCCGCGGGTGCGCGGTCGCCCAGGGCATGTCCCCGTCGTCTCAGGAGCGAAAGAAGGACGCACACGTACATGAATCCACGCTGGCCCGGCCGTCTTGCGCGTCGCTCTGTGGCTAATTAGGCTGGCCCGTGCCCCAGACCCCCTCTCGGCGACAGCTTCACGCGTCTGCCCGCGACCAAAAAAAGTACATGAATCCACGCTGGGTTCGAGAGTACGCATCGCCCGACAGTTCGCATCACGCGGCCGGTCTCGCAGAGCGAGGGGCCGTGTTCATGCACGTAGCTGGGCGCGTACGTCCTCTGTGGGCTCCCTAGAGTCGTTCCGACCAGCGGAGGCCTCGCCGCGGGCGTGGAAGGTCGACCGCCGCCGGTGGGCCGGAAGCCACCAAAGCACGGCACGATCGGGCCAGCGAAGAGCCGCCGATCGATCCAGGTCGAAGGAGCGATCCACGCGGTGTCAGAAGCCGGGGCCGGACCTGAACGTCGTTTTTGCTGGACTTCGGCTGTGTCTTGTGTTTTTCGCGGCCCAGCGGCCAGACATGTTCCCAGACATGATCGCGTCGTAAAACTCAGGACGACAGGTTTTGGGCCATCCTCGGCCCCGGGGTGCCCTCGCCGGGCCTCGGGACTGTCAAAAGACGGCTCCGGACGAAAAACCGGCCCTGGGGAACGGGGTCGGGGCTTCGAGAGACGCCGCACTGGAAAAAATCAGGGCGTCGCGTGTCTGGGTTCCGCCCACGAGCGAAAAAAAGAAAGCCAGGGAGGTAGGCGGTGCCTCGGCTGGCTCTCCGAGAGGCCCTGGCGTCGTCCGCGAGCAGCGCCGGCGCCTCTGGCGACCCGGCGCTGCTGCGCCTGCTGGCGCTGCTGCGGGGCGTGCGGCTGGTGCGGCTGGTGCGGCTGGCGAGGGCCCAGCACATCGCCGCGCTCGTCTCCCAGCGCGTGCGCTCCGAGGGGGTCAAGCTCTCCGTCTCGATCGCGCTGATCATGTTCGCGCTGCTGGTGCGGAAGCACGTGGCACAAAGTCCAGCAGCATGCCTTGCTCATTGTGACTTGTTGTTGGCCGTTGTCCATTTGAGACCAGGCACGCCTGCCCAGCAGCGGCCGCTGTCGGTTTTGGGAAACATCGATTGACGAGCATCGTACACATTTTTTCCGTGCGCATGTCGGGTGTCCGAAGGTGTTGATCCACGTTATCGCGTGCGCATGGCACGGGGTGCGCTACGGCCTGGAGCGGGGCACGGCCCAGGGCCATGGTCTCGGGGAGGATTATTTCGAGGCGTTCCACTGCGTGCTGGCGCTATTCCTGGGCGAGCATCTGGTGCCGCCCCAGAGCCTGGGTGAGCGCGTCTTCACCATCCTGGTACTCGTCTTCAGCTTCATGGTCTCCTCGTGCTTCGTCGGCTCTCTCACCACCGCGATGACGCAGCTGCGTATCATCGCCGGCAAGCGCTCCACGCAGTTCGCCGCCCTCAACCACTACCTCTCCGACGCGGGCATCTCCCGCGAGCTCTCCGCCCGGGTGGTGCTCAACGCGCGGCACGCGCTGCGCGAGCAGAAGCGCCTCACGCCCGAGAGCAGCGTGGAGCTGCTGCAGCTGATCTCCGACCCGCTGAGGTGCGAGATCCACTTCGAGGTCTTCTCGCCAACGCTCACCGTGCACCCGTTCTTCCACCTGCTGAACGGAATCTGGAGGAGGAAAAGGTACTGATACCGCTCCCCTTGCCTCGCTATCCCTCCCTCTGGGCCTCCGCAGATGCCCTCGTCGCCACCGCTGGACTCGCCTCGAGCCGAAGTCCGGGTCGGGACGCAGCACGAACGCACCCCAGGAGAGGCCCGAGGAGCAGCGGCATCGGCGCCTCTCCATCTCTCCCCCCAGGCCTTGGCATCTCTCGGACGCGTGCGTTTTTCCCTTCGGCGAGGATCATCGAGGAGCAGCCTCGATCAGTTGGCGAAAAAGCCACGAAACGAAACCGAAAAAGTTGGCATCGCTCGGACGTGTGCGTTCTTCCTTCGGCGAGGACCATCGAGGAGCAGCCTTGCTCCTGTGGCGAAGAAGCCACGCAACGAAACCGACAAAAAAAAAAACAGGGAAGGGACGCCCGAGCGATGGCCCCCAGGAGTGAACCCGGCGGGCGTCCGGCACGTGTGCCACGCGGCGGTGTCGGCCGTGTCGCTGTCGCGCGGCGACGTGCTCTTCTCGGAGTTCGAGGTTACGGGGCGTGAAGACGACCGCAGCCGCTGCTTTTCTTTTGTTGCCGCCTTCCAGCCCGCAGAAACAAAGCAGTGGCTGTGGTCATTTTCGTTGCGCTCGGCACCCAGGGAATGACCACAACCACTGCTTCTTTTGCGGCCGGCTGGAGGGCGGCGCAAACAAGAAGCAGTGGCTGTGGTCATTTTCCCGTCCCGCAGAGGTGCCGACGTCGCCGCGGATGTTCTTCGTGTTGCGCGGGCGGCTCAGCTACGCCAGCGGCACGGAGGCGCAGCGGGTCGTCGACCAGGAGCGAAGAACGGTATAGAATTATCCCAGTGCGACCCTACCTAGGACTTGGAGCATTTAGGAAAGCAACACCTACATCTACACCGACAGCGATGGTATGCTATGCCAGGGTACGCTCGGCTGCGCTGTGTTATGCTAGGCTATGCTATGCTATGCTATGCTGCGCTATGCTATGCTATGCTTGGCTATGTTATGATGTGCTATGTTATGCTGATGCAGCGCTGCGCTATGCTAGGTTAAGCTAAGCTAAGCTAAGCTAAGTTAACCCTCTAAGCAGAGCCTAGGTAGGGAATTACACCCATGCTAATGCTATGCGATGCTGGGCTATGCTATGATATGCGATGCTGCGCTATGCTACGCTATGCTGTGCTCTGCTATGATATGCTAAAGCTCAGCGAAGCTAAGATGAAGGTAAGCTAAGCTAAGATACACCTGAGCTAAGATGAAGCTAAGCTAAGATGAAATAAGCTAAGCTAAGATGAGATAAACAACGCTCAGCTAAGGGGACGTAACTGGGGGAACCGCGGGGCGGATACTGGGGGAACCGCCCGGGGCGTGGACCACTGCCCGGCCCTTTAAGCTTACCGAGTAAGAAGCCTTCCAGGCAGAGCCTAGGTAGGGAATACAATTGAGGTAAGATGAAGCTAAGCTAAGGTAAGATGACATAAGCTAAGCTAAGATGAGATAAGCAACGCGAAGCTGAGGGAACGTCACTGGGGGAACCGCGGGGCGGATGCCGGGGGAACCGCCCGGGGCGAGCCCCACTGCCCGGCCTTTTAAGCTTAGCTATGCTATGCTAAGCTGCGCTATGCGATGCTATGCTATGCTATGCTATGCTTTGCTATGCTGCGCTATGCTATGCTTTGCTATGCTATGCTATGCTCTGTTATGCTAATGCAGCGCTGCGCTATGCTAAGTTAAGCTAAGCTAAGCTAAGCTAAGGTGACCCTCTAAGAAGAGCCTAGGTAGGGAATTCTTCACGCTTCGCGTATCCCCACCAGCCCATCCCCAAACAGCAACTCCAGCGAGGCATGCCGACAGTCGTGTTTTTCATGCGTATTGCTGCCTGCTCCCGCATATATATACCCTGTTCCTATGTCCTCCTGCCGCCTTGTACATCCACCTAGTGGGGGGAGCGGGAGGAGGAGTCTTCTCGTAGCAGTAGTTGTCTCAGTAGTCGTCAACGTCGTCGTCGCAGTAGTTGTCTCAGTAGCAGTAGCAGTCACTATAGTAGTGGTCTTTATGGAAGTAGCAGCAGCAGTAGTAGTAGTAGTAGTAGTAGTAGTAGTAGTAGTAGTAGTAGTAGTAGTAGCAGTAGTAGTAGTAGTAGTAGTAGTAGTAGTAGTAGTAGTAGTAGTAGTAGTAGTAGTAGTAGTAGTAGTAGTAGTAGTAGTAGTAGTAGTAGTAGTAGTAGTAGTAGTAGTAGTAGTAGTAGTAGTAGTTAGTAGTAGTAGTAAGTAGTAGTAGTAGTAGTAGTAGTAGTAGTAGTAGTAGTAGTAGTAGTAGTAGTAGTAGTAGTAGTAGTAGTAGTAGTAGTAGTAGTAGTAGTAGTAGTAGTAGTAGTAGTAGTAGTAGTACCAGTAGCAGTAGTAGTAGTAGTAGTAGTAGTAGTAGTAGCAGTAGCAGTAGTAGTGGTGATAGTCTTAGTCGTAGTAGTGGTAGTAGTCGTGGTAGTAGCAGTAATAGGACCAGTAGTAATAGTAGCAGTAGTAGTCTTAGTACTACTAGCAGCAGTAGTAGTAGTAGTCCCAGTAGTAATAGTAGCAGTAGTACTAGTAGGTAGTAGTAGCAGTAGTAGTAGTAGTAGTAGTAGTATTAGTACTAGTAGTAGTACTAGTAGTAGTAGTAGTAGTAGTAGTAGTAGTAGTAGTAGAGGATGATGTAGTAGTAGTAGTAGTAGTAGTAGTAGTAGTAGTAGTAGTAGTGGTAGTAGTAGTAGTCGTACTACTAGTGTAGTAGTAGTAGTAGTAGTAGTAGTAGTAGTAGTAGTAGTAGTAGTATTAGTAGTAGTAGTAGTAGTAGTAGTAGTAGTAGTAGTAGTAGTAGTAGTAGTAGTAGTACTAGTAGCAGTAGTAGTAATAGCACTACCAGTAGCAGTGGCACTAGCAGTAGCAGTAGCAATAGCAGTAGCCGTCGTAGTAGAATTAGTAGTGGTAGTAGTAGTAGTAGCAGAAGTAGCAGTAGTGGTCGTAGAAGAAGAAGAAGTGGCAGTAGTAGGAGTGAGAGTAGTAGTAGTAGTAGTAGTAGTAGTAGTAGTAGTAGTAGTAGTAGTAGTAGTAGTAGTAGTAGTAGTAGTAGTAGTAGTAGTAGTAGTAGCAGTAGCAGTAGCAGTAGCAGTAGCAGTAGCGGTAGACGTATGAGTAGTTGTTGTTGTTGTAGTAGGAGTCGTGGTGGTAGCGGTGGGAGTAGCGGTAGAAGTCGTAGTCGTTGTCGTTGTCGCAGCGCTTGAGGATATACTAGGGCCTTCTTGGCGATATGTGGAGACATCTTGGGGATATACTAGGGCCTTCTGGGCGATATGTTGGAGGTCTCGGAGCCCTTTGCGGGCTCTCCCGGGGCGCTCTTAGGGCCCTCTTGGGGCTCTTTGGGAGGGGTCTGGGAGGTATCTTGGGGCCATCTTTCGGGTGATCGATCACAGATGGGCGAGCATTTTTCTCCCCCCCCCGTCGGGGCCACGATCCTCGTGAGGGGTGTCGAATTTTAGCCCTCCCAGGAGTCGAAAAAGACCCCTCCGACAACCCGCGGAAGGACCTCTCCAGGCCCAGGGGGAGGGGGTAGGGGGAGGGGTAAACCCCTCCCCAAAGGGGAAGAAGGGGGTTGAGAACAGAGCGGGCTCTCTAAACCACTCACGCCCAAAGGGCTGGTTGGATTACACCCATGCTATGATATGCGATGCTGCGCTATGCTACGCTATGCTATGCTATGCTGTGTTATGCTATGCTATGCTAAAGCTCAGCGAAGCTAAGATGAAGATAAGCTAACTAAGATAAACCTGAGCTAAGATGAAGCTAAGCTAAGCTAAGATGACATAAGCTAAGCTAAGATGAGATAAGCAACGCTAAGCTAAAGGGACGTAACTGGGGAAACCGCGGGGCGGATACTGGGGGAACCGCCAGGGGCGGGCCCCACTGTCCAGCCCTTTAAGCTTACCGAGTAAGAACCCTTCTAGGCAGAGCCTAGGCAGGGAATAAACTTTTTCGCTGTCGGGGGCGCCTGTCCCTGGGCGGCTGGAAGGTTTATACCCCTATGGTGCCACCGTAAGGGTATAAACTTTCCAGCCGCCCCCGACAGCGAAAAAGTGTATTTTATACCGTTCTTCGCCCGTTAAGGCCTGGCTGTCCGAGCCTGTGCTGTGGACGGCCTGGGCGCACCGGGGCACCCTGCGCGCCCAGGCCGAGGCGAACCTGCTGGCGCTGGACGCGCACAGGTTCATCAACATAATGAGCACCTTCCCCACGCTGCACAGCCTGAACTACGCCACCAAGTTCGTGGAGAACCTCAACACCGAGGGTGCCCACGACTCGTTGACGGACCTCGGGGCCTCGGAGGAGGAGGCCCGGAAGCTCGCCGTGCAGGCCTTCCAGGAGCACGACCTCAACTTCGAGCCCCCCGCCGAATGGGCCGGCGGAAGGCAGGGTCCATGTCGATCCGATCCGATTCGATGTCGATTCCGGCCAGCCCGGCCCGATTCGACCCCGATGTTCCGACGATCCGATGCGGCCCGATGCTTGCATGGCGTTGGTGTGCGCTCTGGCGCAGCCGAGCGCACAGCAACGCCATGCCTCTGCCGTGTGTGCTTGCCTCTGCGGCCCGTCCTCTGTCGTTTTCGCTGGTCACCCGCCGCCCGAACAATCCCAACTTCGGCCTCCAAGGATCCTGCGTCCTTTGCCACCGCTCTCAGAGCGCTCCGGAACGCTCTGAAACGACCGCGGCGCCCGATGCGCCCTCCAAACCCGCCGTTCCTCAGAGATTCATGTTCTTATATCGGTCCGATGTTGTCTCGATGCTGTCGCCGTCTTAGGCGGATGTCCATCCTGTCCGTGGCGTCGCTGCTCTCCGCGACCTCGCTTGGCGCCACCCGGCCCGGCCGCGTGGCCCTGCCCGGCCGCCGGGCGTCCAGCGCGGAAGTGGCGCCTGCCTCGCCGCGGCCGCCCCTGCCGGACACGTGACGGGCTCGCCCTCGCCCTCCCGCTTTTCTGTGTCGGCCCGCCCCTTTGGTCCGCAGAAGGGTCGCGGTGGCCCGCACTGCCACTCTAGGCCTCCTAGATGGGGTCCGAGCAGATGGGGTCGGAGGATCGCGCCGCATCGCCGATGCATCGGCGATGCATCAGCGATGCGGCGCGATGTGGAGCCCGATTTTCTCCACGCCGGCGTCGCCAGTGCATCACCGACGTCGCCGATGCATCGCCGATGCATCGGCGATGTATCGGCGATGTATCGGCGATGCGGCGTGATCCTCCGACCCCATCTACTCCGACCCCATCTAGGAGGCCTCTAGCCACGCAGGCGAAAAGCCGGGCGCGGGACGAGCCCGCGCTCGGACCTGCCACGAGGCCGCGGCGCCAGGAGTTGTCTTCGCGTTTGCACTGCAGCATCTTTCGGCAGCTAATCACCGAAGAAGAAAAGACGGCATAAGCATAAACTTTCGACGGTCCGCGCGGATTTCGTGCATCCGCATTGGGCCCCCCCCGGGCAGCGCCTCTGGCGCCACCTCGGGCCCGCTCTGCGCGCCAGGGAGGGGGGCCTGGCGCAGGTCCAAGAAATCCGCGCGGACCTTCGACAATGTATGTTTATGTCGTCTTTTGTTCCTCTACTCCTAGGAGCCTTCCGTACCCTTGCAACTCCGTCATCAGAGTGTGTTAACGCCGATGGGCGTCGGGTAATCGATGTGTTAGCGCCAATTTAGCGTCGATGAGCGTCGATGTAGTGTCGATCAGCGTCGACTATCGTCGAATCGCAAGGGCCAACGACAGGGTCTGGGAGGCGCCCACGAGTTACCACCGAACGGTCTCCAGGACAGACTCGTCAGAGGGCGCGTTTTTCTGGTAAGACTCCCGCGACCCAGACATGCGCGCGTCGTAACACAATTTGGTGGCTGGAGGTGTTTCGATTGATTTGGGCCTCGGGGGTCAGGAGGGCCCCCACCAGGCCCAGGGACCGTCAACAAAGACTCAGGACAAAACAACAACAGTCCCGGGGAAATCGAGCAGCGCCGAAGCTTATAGGCCCAGCAACGAACAGTATGCGACTCCCGTGGTCTGCATGACATGTTCTTAGAACATTTCTGGCTGAGACCGTTTCGTTTTCACACGTCGGGCTTATGATCCAAAAACTTCTTCTGTTCTTGGAGCATTTCTGGGTTCTAAGAACATGTCGTGGCAGACCTGTGGGGATGTTGGGACGGCCGGGGGCCTGCTCAGGAACGAGTCAGGATTTCCTCCGACCCCGTACGGAGAAAGTCTGGACATCGCATCTCTTGGAAGTTTACTTGCGTGTAGGGGAGGTGTGGGGGGGGGGAGGCGGGGCGAGACCCAACAGGAGACCTGGACTTCACGCAAGTCGGGACTCATTTGCACGCCCCAGCGCTGTTTGAAAAAACGGCGTGGGGGGCGTGGCGGGGGATGCAATGCAAGTAAACTTGCCTGAGTCCAGAGCAAAATGTTTCTTATAAAGCACACGGGCGCCAAGGTTTTCGGTGGTTTTCGGGCTTCCGCGGCCCTCTCCTGGCCCCAGGACCATGCGCAATCGGACACACACGGGTGACCCTGTGCCAGAGTAATATCTGGTGTGGGCCCACTGGGGGCCAGTGATCTCTCGATGCGATGCGATAGCAGCAGTTTGCGCACCTGGGATGGGTCCCCCCCCAAAGCCCCGCACCACATGGCACTCTTGCCTGGGTTCACTCTTGCATGTATCCGACAACAATGACCGACTCAGCCAGGATGCAGGAGTAGTTCTAGGGGAGGGCCCCAGGGCCCAGTGCCCGTTTCCTTCGGGACCCGCTTGCTCCATGCCGAGCAGACCCGTGATGCATCAAAGTCGTTAAAGGAGTGGGTTCGGCCTGGGCGGAGAAGAAGTCGGCGGCGTGCTCATCATTCCCAGACCCACGACGTCGTGACTTTGTCACACACACACGCACGCACGCACGCACGCACGCACGCACGCACGCACGCACACACACACACACACACGCACACACACACACACACACACGCACGCACGCACGCACGCACGCACGCACGCACGCACGCACGCACGCACGCACGCACGCACGCACGCACGCACGCACGCACGCACGCACGCACGCACGCACACACACACACACACACACACACACACACGCACACACACACACACGGAGGTCCAGAGCTTTTACGCGGGGCTGGGTGTTCACCCTTGGCCCTTTTCTGGCGGTCCCTGGGCCCGGTGAAGGGCCTCCGGGAGGCTCAAGGTTGTGGACGATTTGTCGTCGTGAGTTTCCCACCGCGCGAGGTGATCTGGCTTTCTAGACAGCAGGAATCGTTGGCCAGGCGCGGCAGCATCCCTCGCGATCCTTGGCACGCTGGCGTGTGCCGCGCGGGTCTTGTGCGTGGCCCTCCGTGCCGTGGGCCTTCCTTGGTAGCGAGGGAAAGGGGTCCCTGGAGGTCCCCCGAGACCCTGGCGTCGCCATCTTTCACGCCGACCGTCTTCGCCCGCATTCGGGCCCCTGGGCCCTCGCGGATCGGTGCGGCCCGAGAGGTGTGGGAGGAAGCCGTCGGCCCCAGTCGCGATTTGTCCCCGTGCTGACTTTTCGCAGCGGCGTCGGAGGTCAGGGTCCTTTCCCCTGGCCCTGGCAGCGTCAACAAGCAGATCGGGATGAGAAAGTGATCCCAGGGACTCCCAGACCACGGGGGCCCAGGGGGACACATATCAATCGATACCAGTTCCAGGGTTCCCCATCTGGTTGCACATTTCCTGGATTTTTCTCGTCCCCGCCAGTTTCCACATCCTCTAATATTCTCATGGACATCATCGTTCGTTTGCGTTTGTGTGCGGTAGGTTCGCGCTGTTTCGACCGGCGGCGACCCCGCCGCCAGCGTTCAACGTTGAACGCCGCTGACGACGCATAGTCGGTCGATGCTGAACGAGCTGACGTTTCGGAAACGCCCGATCGCTCGAGGTTGAACGATCCCCGCGGTGTCATAAAACCAACGCCAGGGTTGACACGACACGAACTTGCCGTATCTCAGGGGCAACGATAGGGGGGGATAGGCATAGGGGGGGATGCATCGACCCCCAATCGCCCATTGATCGCCAATAGGGCCCGATGTAGCCCCAACCTGCCCATGAAGGTTCGGATTCACGATCGGAGGCCCATCGCCGACCCATCGGCGATGCATCGCCGATTCCAGGTCGATGCGTCCCGCCCTATGCCAGTCCCCCCATGTCGTTGCCCCTCAGTATCTTACCAGTTTGCAGCATATCCCTATCCCTATGTTTGACATCACCTCGCCTCGATGCCGATCTCAAGGATTCCCCCAGTTTCCGTGGGCCTGTCCCTAAGACGGTCCTCGCTTTCTGCTCGCCCATCTTAGGGATAGGGATACGTTCGAGGCTGGTTAGGTCAGTCGGGCCTTGCAGGTTGCAAGATCCTGCAGGATCCTGCGCGCAGACCCGGGTCAGTGCACCCCTGGACCTGCAAGATTTTGCAAGATCCGGCGCTCTGACTGACCCCCGTTTGCATTGACCCCCGTCCCTTGAGCCCCCGACTCGGCCAGCCGTCGGGCGGGGCAGAGGTTGGGCTGAGGTCGGGATGAGGCTGGTTAGTATCGTGTCTCCCTCCGACGGACCCGCTGCCCCCATCGCGCGGTGTGAACGCAGCACGGCGGACGGTGTTGGGCCGCTGTTCGGCCGCCAGGCGCCCCTGCGCGCGCTGCTGAGATCGCCCATAGGAGGACGGCTCAGGATTTGCAGAAAGCTCGGGCTGCGCGCGACAGGATGGAAGCAGATATTGCTGAGAAGACGGAGCAGCTTGAGAAGCTGTAGGAGTCTTTGGCAGCGCGTAAGGCGCAGCTGGAGGCCAAGAAGATCGAGGTCGACACGCTTGATGCAGAGTACAAACGGACGGCAGCCCTCATCGCTGACGGCACGACTGCGGCGGCCGCGGACGGTGATGGCTCCAATGACGCAGAAATCAAGCTGGAAGTGCAGCCCGAGGAGACCGAGGACCCAGAGCTGCAGGCCTTTTCTGCAGTCCGACCAGTGGAAGAAGTTGCAGACGATCCTCGCGGGCAAGGTCAAGGCTGCAGGTGCTGCTGCTGGTGGCAGTGCTAATATTCCAATGCCTCAGGCCCCTGACGCAGGTGATGGAGAGGGAGAGCAAAAAGAACCCGCCAAGCGTGCCCTCGATGAGCTATCAGAGGAGGAGGCTAAGCTACTCTTCGACTCCAAGGGTGACTTTGCCGAGTTCCAGGGGAAGCTCAGAGAAATGGCTAAAAAGCAGCGGTGTTCCTAATGTAGCCGAGATGCATTCGGACTTTGCGAACATACGCGTGTCTGGACTCCCCCTCGCCTTGGGCAAGTCGAGGGTTATTCAACAGCCTGCGCTTCAGGGATTGTACACGTTCGAGTCTTTCAACGCCAATGGGGGCCGTCAAACATTGAAAGACAAAATCACCAGGTCAAAGTCACATGTGTTGTTGTTGTAAGAGATTGGGTACCATAGCGATTCGATTGAAGCATTTTATTCGTGGGCCTCTGCCCGGGGGTGGAAGGTGATGCGCTCCCAGGTGTCCCCACGAAAGGAATCACGTCGTCAGGAGTTGCGATGCTAACCCGCAGTCGTTTTGGGCTCCGAACGCACCCTGACTTACCTCATGAGGTCGTACCTCATCGGCTCCAACATGCGGTGCTAGATATCCCAGGCTGGCCAGCGATATCGGTCATTAATGCGTACCTCAAGGGCTCAATTGGGGCCACAGGGCTCAATGCAGCGCTGCTCGCGCAAATGGGATCCATCTTCAGTAAGATACCTGGGCAATGTCTAGCAGGAGCTGGTTGGAATATGCAGGTTGACGAGTTGGATGCCTCAGCTTTCCCCAGGATGGCCAGTGCCACGATGGCAGTCCCGAAGCAGATCACTTGCCGAGGAGGAACGGGATCGACAGTCATCGATTACTTTGCGGTGAAT